CGAATAATAAAAGGTAAATATTCAGCTTACCGAAGGAATGTGAAGCGTTCTTGCTTTTGAAAAAATGACAGTGGTGATATCAATGCGATTAAAAGAATAATGAGGGTTAAAGAGGGAATAATCTTAGTATTCAACCCCTCGCTGGCCATTAAATGGAATGCTAGCCAACTAGAGGAGAATAATAGTGCATAGGCCAAGAATAGCTTGTAAATAGGCCGATACAGTACAGAAGGATGGGCATAGTTTGTGCTTCGAAACCCTGTCAGGGATGTATTGTCCCATTCCGTACCATTGGAATTGCGTCGGATGTCGAGAACAAAACCAGTATCGATTCCAAGAAAGTATAGCCCCTGGAGATTAGTGGCCCATCCGAGCATGCCAATTCCGACTAGGAACAAGCAACGATAGGGCAGCGGAAATACCACTGAAAAATGAGAAGAAGGGTTCAAAGGGGCATCTGTATCGATATCCATCGATCCTTCATCGAACAATTGCCAATTATTTGGTACTGCGAGATTGATTGAAAATGCGTTGACACGTCACCACCCAGAAATTGTTTATAACGAAAGTCGGCGTAGGATAAACCTTCTATGAAAAACCGGAGTATAATAGTCCACCACGTTAGTATAGCGGACAGGTTAAGGTGGCAAGTCAGGTACAAGTTGTGACTTTCATCTCCACCACATTGGTTCTACATAAATGGCAGAAGAAGAAGTAATTATTAATGATCCAATGATTCAATACATCGTACTAATAGAAGTTTCAGAAAGTGAAGAAAGAGCGTAAAACATGGGATAAAGAGGAGTGGCGAGAAAAAGCAAAACAGAAGGACGAGGATGAGCGTGAGCGTATGCAACAAAATGAGGAACTTATGAAGAAAGGTAAGTAAACCGCGGTCATTGACAAGATGTACTCGACTTACCAATGCTTAGGCAAGAAACCGGGTAGGCGTAATCCCGCTGTGGACATGCCTAAACCAACAGAGACGATGAAACAAAGAGAAGGCTCCCTGGAACTCGATAAGAATCTCGGGAAGACAATGGTAGTTACTAATGCTACTGGACGAGGACCTGGGCAGCCAGGGTTCTATTGCGAAATATGTAAGCGTAACCACAAGGACAGTAACAGTTACTTGGATCATTTAAACAGTCGAAATCGTAAGTCGACAGATGATATTATGCACCTCTTTCTTAAATACTTTCACAGACCTACGAATGATTGGACAAAGTACTAGGGTAGAACGGTCAACAGTGGAGCAAGTTCGGGAGAAGATAGCTGCATTACGAGAGCAAACGAAAGAAGCACGAGCTGCAAAAACTTTTGATTTCGAGAGGAGGCTAGCAGAAATCAAAGCAAAAGAAGATGCATTACGGGCAGAACGTAAAGCACAGAGGAAAGCTGCTAAGGAGTCTAAGCGATTAGATGTCATTAACGCCGCAAATGAAGACCTAGATATGCAATCCAAGGAGGATATCACGGCTATGATGGGGTTCTCAGGTTTTGGAACAACAAAGCGATGATACGTTGGATTGTTTCACATTCACAGGGAATTTCTCTACATTCTACTGCCTAGTCAATGAAAGATGGAAGCCGACTTCGCCTATCTCTTGCCTTCTCTCGATGAGGATGACGGCTTCAGTTGGTCGTTTTTGTACATCTGCTGGAGCTGCCCTGATCGCCTTTGTAATCGTGTCAGCATGCTTCACGATAGCTGCCAGTAAATCCAGCCCGGAACCATCTTCAAAGTCGTAATAGACAGCCACGTTATCTGTAGCCTGTAAACCAGCTTCCTTGCGTAATTTTTGTACCCTGTTTATGAATTCGCGTGCCAACCCTTCCGCCTCTAGCTCAGGGTATGTGCGAATGTCCAACAACACCACAACATCGTTGTCACTGTTAGAAGCATAGCTGCCATCCTCAGGAAGGTCCACGTATCGATTGACAACAAGATCGCCCTTCGTTAACGGTATACCATCGACGACGATTTCTCCAGTCGTTTCATAGGCCTTGACCTCCTCTGAAGTCAACTTTGGTAGACCTGCTTTGACCTTTCCGATGTCTTTACGTAGTTTCTTGCCCAGCGTAGGCCAGTCGGCAGTCGCTTTATATTGTACACATGTCCGTGCTTCGTCTGTTGTGAAAATAACTTCTCGGACGTTGAGCTGGCTTTCCAGATATGGTTGTAAGGGCTTAACGTCGTCAAAGAAGCTTTGATCAGGATGGAATACAAGTAATTCTTTGAGAGGGACCTATATAAATAGTCAAAAGGTGCCCAACAATACTGTAAAACGAAGATGAATTGACCTTAAGGGATGGTTGGTGTTTTTCCCTTAGCGATCTTGTCAGTTCGATGATAGTTTGCATTCTCTTGACTTGACGTTCAATATCGGGATCGAAATACTCTTCCCTTACAGTTGGAAAGTCTAGGAAGTGCACTGAACGTTCATCCTTCTGAGTTGATACCATGTACTTCCTTAGAGTTTGGTAGAGTGACTCCGTAACGAAGGGGGTGAAGGATGACTAAGAGGATATGAGCCAAAGGATCACAAATTTAGGGCAGACTGACCATAGTTTTGCATAATGTGAATAGAGTCTCGAAGAGGGTATTCAGAGCAGCCACAGTATCTTCTGGCCCACCTTCTCCTTTTAATCGGGCACGATTAAAGCGAATATACCAATTTG